AGGTTCTGCTTGGTACAGACTCTCATACCTGTACAGTTGGTGCATTTAGTCAATTTGCTAGTGGAATTGGTAACACTRATCCAAGATTTGTACTAAGCACTGGGAAATAACTGCTCAAGGTCTGTCTTATGTTTATAAATTATAATAAGCCATGGACATTCTATCATATGTTAGCAGATCCAATATTTCTATTTTCTTTTTTAGTATCTGTGTTTGTATGACGAATGTGTGAAATCCTACGATGTTTGATCTCTTTTTGTCTTGTCACTGAATAATTGAGTTAGCTCCTTTTATGCTATGTTTTGTGTGTTTTAATTTCTATTTACTTAATTTATTTTTTAGTTTAAGATTTCTTTTTGTTTTCTAGGTAGTCCTTTACTCTAATAGAGAAGAGTGTCACATTACTCTTATCACAAGCTTGTTGTATAACATGGATAAAAGTTGGATGGAAATTGGAAATCGAGCATTGCAAAAATATAGAAATGGAGTAAGAAGCTTTCTAGATTTTGCATTTATGCATACGACATCCAATCAGATTTCTTGTCCATGTAAGAGATGCAATAATGCAATACTTAAAACTCGAGATGATGTTGAAGTAGATTTGTTAATGTTTGGGATAGTTCCAAGTTACACTTGATGGACAATGCATGGTGAAAAAAGTTTATCATATGGATTAGGAGAAAATGATAATGATTTTGGTGAAGAAGATATCTTTGAAATATTAGAGGATCACTTTGGTGTTCTTAACACCAATAATTGGACCAAGAAAGGAGGATCAAGTAAACATGGTTATAATGAAGAACCAAATGAGGAAGCTTCTAAGTTTTATAGATTGTTAAATGATGTAGAAAATGAACTTTATCCTAGGTGTAAGAGATATTCTAAGTTTTCTTTTATTATGAAATTGTTTCACGTAAAGTGTCTTGGAAATTGGAGTAATAAATCATTTACTTTTTTACTCAACTTATTAAAAGATGTATTTCCAAAATGCATCAATCTACCTAATAATTACTATGAGACAAGAAAGATCATTCAGGACCTAGGACTTAAGTACTCTAAGATAGATGCATRCTTGAATAATTGCATATTGTATTGGAAGGAAAATGCTAAGGCAGATAAATGTTTAGTTTGTGGAGAATCTAGATGGAAGCTAGAAAAAACCTTTAAAAAGAAAAAAGGTTCAAAAGTTCGTATTAAAAAACAAGAAGAAGGTTTCACAGAAGGTTTTGAGAAATTTTCCTCTAACTCCAAGATTAAAAARATTATATATGTCAAGAAAGACAGCATCAAGTATGACATGACATTTTAGTGGACGGGTAGATGATGGAGTTCTTAGGTATCCTGCTGATTTTATAGCCTGGAAAACACTTGATGAATCATATAGTTTATTTGCTTCAGAGCCTCAGAATGTTTGACCTTGTTTGGCCAATGATGGATTTAATCCATTTGGAAATATGAGTATCTCTTATAGCGTATGGCATGTCATTCTTATTCCATATAATTTGCCACCATGGATGTGTATGAAAGAGCCTTATTTCATGCTATCATTACTCATTCCTGGATCTAAAGGTACTGGTAATGATATTGACATCTGTTTACAACCATTAGTCGACGAGTTAAAAGAGTTGTGGGAGATTGGGGTTGAAACTTACGATGCATCACTAAAGCAAAATTTTATCATGCGTGCTGCATTATTATGGACCATTAATGATTTTCCAGCATATGGAAACTTATCTGGTTGGAATACAAGAGGTACCCTAGCTTGTCCTTCATGTAATTTTGATACTCGATCACTTTATTTAAAAAATAGTGGGAAAATGTGCTACATGGGTCATCGTCGTTTTTTACCTTTARACAATGAATGAAGACTACAACCAGAGTTGTTTGATGGGCATAATGAAGAAAAATTACCTCCTGAGCAATTGTCTGGAAGTGATATACTTGAACAAGTGAATCAATTTGAAGAACGTATATTTGGCAATAGTGTGAAAAAGAGAAATCGTGCTAAAAACTGGCTGAAGAAAAGTTTATTCTTTGAGTTACCTTATTGGGGAACTTTAATATTGTGACATAATTTAGATGTCATGCACCTTGAAAGAAATGTTTGTGAAAATGTGACTGGTACGCTATTGAATATTAAGGGTAAGACAAAAGATAACTTTAAGTCTCGTCTTGATCTCAGCGAATGGGTATAAGAAATGAATTGCATCCAGTACAACATGAAAACAAATGGTACCTACCACCTTCATGTTGTACATTATCTTTAGATGAGAAAAATGCATTTTGTGAGTATTTCAATTTCAACCCATTAAAGGTTCAGATGGATTCTCTTCTACTATTGGAAGGTGTGTAAATATAAAAGGAAGAAAAATATTTGGTCTTAAAAGTCATGACTATCATGTTATTATGGAATATTTGCTCMCATATGCATTACAAGGATTGATAAAGAATGAATGTACGAGACGTATTGATTAATTTGAGAAATTTTTTCAAGACTTTGTGCTCAAAAGTTGTTAAACTAGATGATATAAAAATTATTGAAGATGAAATTATAAGAATTCTCTGTAAAATGGAAATGATGTTCCCACCATCATTTTTTGATGTAATGGTTCATCTATTAGTTCATTTGCCAAATGAAGTTAGAATTTCTGGACCAGTTTAATATAGGTGGATGTACTCATTTGAAAGGTACTTAAGTAAGCTAAAGGCTTATGTGCGCAATCGAGCTCATCTTGAAGGTTCTATAGCAGAAGGTTATATTGCCAATGAATGTGTAATGTTTTGCCCCAAATATTTTCATGCCATTGAAACTAAGTTCAACCAAGTGAGAAGAAATGAAGACAACGATCATAGTTCATATGATGGATTGTCTATTTTTAAACTAGTTGGTYGTCCTATCCAATCAGGTAAACAATCAAGAAGGCTCACGACAGAAGAGTGGAGACAAGCTCATCTTTATATTTTAAAGAATTGTGATGATGTCCTACCATATATTGGGTAAGAAAARTTTTCATTAGTGATAAATATTTTAAAATGAAACGTAAAGTGTGTTCTAATTTTATAATTCTTTTTAGTCAGCAAATACAAGCATTACAACATGTTGATGTCAGAAATGCAAAGAAAAAGCACGATAAAGATTTTATAGAATGATTTGAAAGTCATGTAAGTAAGAAAAGACATAGTAGTTATGATCTATTTGTTTGCATTTATCTACTTACTATTAAATATGATACTATTGTCTATGTAGGTTACTAAACTATATAATGGAGGAACAATGAAGCTGACAAACAGCYATTAGATTTAGCTCGTGGTCCATCACAAGAAGTAATGTACTACAAGGGATATATTGTTAATGGTTTTAGGTTTCGTATAAAGGATGCTGATGATTTAAGAAAAACACAAAATAGTGGGGTAGTAGTGAGAGGAATTGACAATCGAGAGTACTTTGGTGTCTTGCATGAAATCATCGAATTGCAGTATATGGGAGGAAATAATGTTGTTTTGTTTAAATGTAAATTGTGGGATATAAATAGTCGTGGTAAAGGAATTAGATTTGACGATCATTGACTGACTAGTGTGAATATGACCTAACCTACACATTTGCTACAAATAAGCCATTTGTATGGGCATGTCAATCTGAACAAGTTGTTTACCTTGAAGATAGAAGAAATCCAACTTGGTATTTTGTGTTGAAGGTTGATCCAAGAGATTATTACAAGATTCYTGTAATCGAAGATGCAAATTGTCAAGAAGAAGACGGTGATGAAGGAATTTAATATTGATAATTGTTTRWAGATGATGACTTCTTTTTGGATTACTTCTTGTTATTTGGTATTATGAATCTTGTATCAATGGTTTTCCTAAGCGACTGCCCAATTATATGGCTTTATTAATATGTTAAGAAGTTGATTTGAATTGAATATTATGTACTGCTTATTTGTTATAATGAATTGTAGAATTATCTGTATTTGAGAAAGTTATAATTTGTCGGTTGAAAGTGTAATTTTACTCTTAAGTGAAATATATGATAGGGAGAAAGATGAAAAACTTCWCATCTTATAGAGCAAAGATCAAATTCCAAGATAGAAATAGTATAAATAATCATGAGAATAGTATTGTAGGGGCGACTACATCTACATCTTCAACAAAATCTAAAACACAAATTGGTCTAGAAGCTTCATCATCATTTGTAGGAGAAATTGGATCAATTACTAGTTATGAAAGGACTCTTAATGGAGGTAATATTTTCTATAGTTAAATTAATTTCATTTGATTTGTTTCTAATTCACCATTTCTTTTTTCTTTTTATTTTAGAATCTTCTTTTGTAGGGCCAAGAAAAGTGCGTGRTCCCACACGCAATCTTAAACTAGTTAGATTAACTCATGGGATTAGATTTGAAGTATCATGGAGGAACAAAAGACCTGTTGGAGATAATGCTGATATTTTCAAAAGCCAATGCACTATTTTGACTCGACAAGTAAACTTTACACCTCTACAAGTGAAAAGTTGGAGRTATATTGACATGATAACAAAAAGAAAACTATTTGAGCTTCCATTAGTATGTGATATAAAAACTTAATAGTTATTTTATTTACTTATTACTTGTTCTAATTGCCATTGTTTTTTGCCATGTAGAAGCGATTTAAAGTTGAAGGTCATGAGGCTTCTATTTTACGTCAACTTAATCGATCTTATAATAATTGGAGAGATAGCTTGAAGAAAAAATGGTTGTACAAATATGATACAGTTGCAGAAGCTTTGGCTAATATTCCACCAAAAATTACAAGAGAATATGCAGAATATCTTGCAAACTTGTGGAAGTCAACTGAATATCAGGTTATATTCTAAAACTTGTTTTCTTGTGCATTTAACAAGAATATGTTTATCTCTTTAAATGGTAATCATTCTCATTTTATATTTTTGAAATGTAGGCGATGTGTGAAGGAACAAAGTGAACCGTTCTAAATTGAATGTATATCACACATGCGGTTCMCAAAGTATACRTCAAAGAGTTGAGAAAGAGGTAAATGAAGAATCACATAAACTTCTTTTAATCTAGTACAATGATTTAATATATATTTTTCATTTAAATAGGTTCGTGACACTAATAGCCTAGTCGCATAAGAATTTGGGAGATAACTCATTTGAGAAACGATGGAACGACGGTGAATGAAACTACACAAGAGAAATTGGTAAGTACGTTATATGAATTTATATTTCTTAAGTTAAAATGATTCAAACAGGAATTTGACTTGACTTGTGCAAGATGTCAAAATTATATGTTATTAGGCAAGATGTCACTGACACCACCACAGAATTTGACTTGTGCATCTATTTTTACTACTTCCAATTGTTTTAGATGAAGGTGGAGCTTCAATCACAATGTAAAATATTGTTAGACCTAGATTAGACTAAGTTGTAGCTTATACGTGCTAACTTATAAATTATAATAATAAGAAAGTAGATCCAATTAGGTGTAAATTATGGAACTAGGTTACACCATACTCTATAATCTTGTGATTTTTGGAAAGTGTTGGTAGGTATAGACAACCATTAATGGTTGAAACATGTTTCAGCTTGTTGTTAGTAGGTCTAGTACAGTTATTTTAAAAAAAAAGCATTAGCAAGTTTAGCTACGGACTCCGGACTTCACCCATTGGTTCTTTATTTTACATGCTTTATAGTTGATGAGGTTGCACATGGACTGGGTGATTTTTCCCTTCTTTTTGCTCTAATGCGTGTCGTTTGGAGCCTTCTTCAGAATCCTCACACTCACATAGAACCTTATGTGAGTTGAATTCTACATATTTGTTATAAGAATATTAAGTAACTGGTATAAGAATATTAAGTAAAACTCATTCAAGTTTAGAAAATTGGTTTGAGACTGCGATGCATATGTAATTTTCTACATAATAGAGGTGCTAAGAAGGAATTCACTTTGAGAATGTCATTTGCTGATCCTAGAGCTCAAGGAATTATTTCATTAGCAGGACATATTAACTTTACTCTCATAGTAACTTCACTCCTTTTGGTTTGAGACTGCGATGCATATGTAAGGTTCGTTGGGGGTGTATTTATAGCTTTTTTACTTTTTACTAGGTTTTGGTTTTTTACTTTATTCGTAACTGTTGGTATATCAAGGAAAAGCTTCTTTAATGTTCAAAAAAGAAAAGAAAAGACTTATAGTTCGTCTTCCAAAAATATGTCTTGTGAAGMTAATATTTTAAATTGATTGCAAAAATAGGATGATAAGTGTTCCCAATATGGGTTCGGTCATTTTAGTATGATGGACGTTGTTGTTAGATTCACCTTAATAAGCCTTCATGTACTGTTCTTGTTCAATCTTTTATTTTTACTACAGTCAATGTGCTCCTTGGATGTTATAGTGACACCATTTTAACTATATTATTTGTTTGTGAATACTTTTGTTATTTTTTATAGGTAYTTTTTTAAAAACTACTCTTTGTACATTCTCTTACTATTTCTTTAGTACCATGGTTTCTATTTCCAAAGCAATATTCCATGGAATAGTTTTTATTATCACACTTTAGATCAGATTTAACCTTATATAGGTTAGTTGAGATTTCTAACTGAGTTGCCCCATTTTCGTGCAGACAAGTAGTACAAATTATCTTATTTTTTTCTTTAAACTTTTTATTTATGTCTTTAGTCGGAACTCAAACCATATGCCTTTCAAGTGATGGATGGTACACTTGACATGAACAACGACCACTACAAGAAGATGATGCTGTTTCGACCATCTTTTATCGAAGGTTATTGAAAACCTTTGAAAAACAGTATATTTATCAACAAATACTTTAAGCCTTTGAAAAATATATGATATTTTATCGAAGGTTGATAGAAAACCTTTGAAAATTATGAATTTTTTTCAAAGGTTATTAAAAACATTCGAAAAAGATTAACGTTTATCAAAGGTTTTTTTAAAGACCTTCGGAGACTATTAACTATTTTATAAAGGTAATTAAAAACCTTTGAAAAACAATATATTTATCAACAAATATTTTAAACCTTTGAAAAATATATGATATTTTATCGAAGGTTTTTAGAAAATCTTCGAAAATTATACATTTTTATCAAAGGTTATAAAAGACYGTCGAAAAAGATRATCTTTTATYGAAGGTGTTTTGAAAAGCYTMGAAAATTTATACATTTTTTATYGAAKGTTACTAAAATCCTTCGAAAAAGCTAATCTTTTATTGAAGGTATTTTGAAGACYTTAAAAAATTATTCAGTATTTTATCAAAGGTTATTGAAAACCTTTGAAAAATAATACATTTATCAACAAATACTTTAAACCTTTGAAAAAYATATGATATTTTATCGAAGGTTTTTAGAAAATCTTTAAAAATTATGTATTTTTCCTCAAAGGTTATAAAAAACCTTCGAAAAAGATACAAATTTCATAAACTTTTGAAAATTGTGTTATCTTTTATCGAAGGTTATTGAAAACTTCAGAAAAACAACACATTTGTCAACAAATATGTGAAGCATTAAAAAAAATATATATTATTTTTTATTGAAGATTTTGAAAAAAACCTTTGAAAAATTAATGAAAAGAAAAATTAAGTTTCAATGTCGGCCTTGCCCGACATTGTAAATCAGCATTTGGGCCAACATTAAAAGTGGCCCAAACTTCAATTTTAACCTAATTTATCTTTCACCCTACACCTTTTGCCTCTCCCACCTCCATTGTCGATCGCGCGAAATAGGCAGGGGGACGAGTGAGTTACGACGGTGACACAACAAAGGAGGACTTCGACCGCGAGCTCCACGGCTTCAATCGACGGCAACGTCCATCTCTTCAAGCAGTAGTGGCGACCTACAATTTAGACACAATCTCTGCGATGACCCGATTCTCTGGCTTCCRTTCTTTGATTTCACTGTTTACTTGAACACAYAGGTCTATTGCTATTTACCATCACTTTCTTCCAGGACTAATTAAATATCTCTATTYGAAATCAACAACGTCCGGTTCCAGCTACTCCTAATATTCTATCTCCTTCGTTTTAAATCGTGATTTGCTTAGAAGAACATTGTCAATTTCCTTACTAATGATACAGGTTTCGCTTAATTTGATATATTCGAATATTTCATGCAATTGAGAGTCATGATCATAGAAGTAGAGTGTCGGTTACATAAATATATAAAACAAGAAATATCTGGGTTTTTATTCTCTCTTTATTTTCCTTCCTTTTAACTATTTGTGCTTTACTTCTTTGTTTTATGGAATTGATTCCATTCCATTTATATATCAGACAACCCAGAACTAAAAATACTTTTATAACTTTTGGGGTGAAACACTTTGTTGGAACTCATATCAACTTTGATATGAATCTATTTAGGAGTGATGACTAATATCATGTTTGATTAGAGGCATGTAAATATTCCAAATCCGAATTTTCTCATTTTGCTATCAACTTTCTCTTAACTTTTAATCTTATCATGCCGATTTCTTATTGGATATCAATTGCCAACTTCATTGCATTCTATGTAAAATATCATTATGTTAATTGGTCTTTCATACTTATCATCTCATGAGAAAGTGTCAAATGAAAGRCAAGTTTTTGGGTTAATCTCTAGAAGATTCTAATTCTTCTTTCGGATTTGTAGATTTTGTGGTGATATCTAGTTGGCAGTGTAGTTTTTATATCTACACAATGAGACTATTTTGGTATTTCATTTGAAGACAGTATTTTGATACAAAAAAAAAAAGTTGTAGAGCGGGGGGAGTTACTTCTGCCTACCCCATTTTAACATCAGATATGTGGCGTCAAACCATTCCGGCATCAACCCAACTAGAACCCATGTGTTAGTGATCCTTGATTTATGGTTCYGACAAATATTGGTAAAGGTCAGTTGGTAATTGGCTCGCCTAAACACTCTTTAATTTGATTTAAATTCTTTTGATTGGTCATGAACTCTTGAAAACTATCTTTGTTGTTTCAGGATATTGACAAATAGATCTTAGGAGTATCAGCACCGTTGGTAAGCTCTTACTTGGGGAGTAAATATTTACTGTATGTTTGTCTTCTTTTATATAAYTTTGTTATCTATTGATGATTATAATATGGGTTATGGTTGAGATGATTCTTGATTCTAATGCGAGTTTGTGTGTTTTGGTGTGGGATAATATGATGTTAGTTTGAATGTAAAAAGGCATTCTAATGTTGTTGAGGACTTGTATGATTATTGATTGATTGTTGTAAAATCGATGTGCATGTAACAAAAATATGTTTATCTCTTTTAATGGTAATCATTCTCATTTTCTATTTTTGAAATGTAGGAGATGCGTGAAAGGAATAAAGTGGACCGAGAACTAGAGGTTTAAGCTCTCGCCCAACTCGCTCGTTCTCGGATTGGACAATCTTGCTTTGTGGAATTTGATTCAACAGGTTCGTTGAATACTTTAATTCTCTCTTCCTCGTGTACGCAACTTAGTTTATTGTCAGTATTGTGCTTAAATTGATACGAGCGAATGGAGATCTGGAGTTTGTTTTTGGTCGATTGATAAAAKCGATGTGCATTTTAGTAGAAATATTTCCAGAAACGGAAGGCCGATGATTGTCATGAATGCATTTTTTTTTGTTAGTTTTGAGTGAATCAAAAACTATATGTTTCTCGCTTGCTTTGGTAGATGAATTTGAGTATAAACAGAAACTTCATATGAGTTGTAATCATAAGTATTTCATGGCATCTAGCAAATTACATCTGTACAGAWCCTAAATCTTACATTGCCTTTTGAAATGTTTTGGTATTTGCTTTTTGTAGTACATGTATTCTCTTGCTCAAGTTAGTGTCTACCATTTAATTTTTAGTTTAAGATCTCTTTTTGTTTTCTAGGTAGTCTTTTACTTGAAGAGAGAAGCGTATCACATTATTCTTATCAAGCTTGTTGTACAACATGGATAAAAGTTGGATGRAAATTGGAAATTGAGCATCGCAAGAGTATAGAAACGGAGTAAGAAGCTTTCTATATTTTGCATTTATGCATACGACATCCAATCAGATTTCTTGTCCATGTAAGAGATGCAATAATGCAATACTTAAAACTCGAGATGATGTTGAAGCAGATTTGTTAATGTTTGGTATAGTTCCAAGTTACACTCAATGGACAATGCATGGTGAAGAAAGTTTATCATATGGATTAGGAGAAAATGATAATGACTCTGGTGAAGAAGATATTTTTGAAATATTAGAGGATCACTTTGGTGTTTTTAACACCAATAATTGGACCGAGAAAGGAGAATCAAGTAAACATGGTTATAATGAAGAACCAAATGAGGAAGCTTCTAAGTTTTATAGATTATTAAATGATGCAGAAAAAGAACTTTATCCTGGGTGTAAGAGATATTCTAAGTTGTCTTTCATTATGAAATTGTTTCACCTAAAGTGTCTTGGAAGTTGGAGTAATAAATCATTTACTTTATTACTCAACTTATTAAAAAATGTATTTCCAGAGGGCACTAATCTACCTAATAATTACTATGAGACAAGAAAGATCATTCGGGACCTAGGACGTAAGTACTCTAAGATAGATGCATGCTTGAATAATTGCATGCTATACTGGAAGGAAAATGCTAATGCAGATAAATGTTATAGCTTGGAAAACACTTGATGAATCATATAGCTTATTTGCTTCAGAGCCTCGGAATGTTCGACTTGGTTTGGCCAGTTATGGATTTAATCCATTTGGAAATATGAGTCTCTCTTATAGCGTTTGGCCTGTCGTTCTTATTCCGTATAATTTGCCACCATGGATGTGTATGAAAGAGCCTTATTTCATGCTATCATTACTCATTCCTGGACCTAAAGGTGCTGGTAATGATATTGACATCTTTTTACAACCATTAGTCGATGAGTTAAAAGGAGTTATGGGAGATTGAGGTTGAAACTTATGATGCATCACTAAAACAAAATTTTACCATGCGTGCTGCATTATTATGGCAATAATAATAATGTAATACAAGAGGTACCCTAGCTAATAATGCGTGCTGCATTATTACCATGCGTGCTGCATCATCAATGATTTTCCAGCATATGGAAACTTATCTGGTTGGAATACAAGAGGTACCCTAGCTTGTCCTTCATGTAATTTTGATACTCAATCACTTTATTTAAAAAATAGTGGGAAAATGTGCTAYATGGGTCATCGTCGTTTTTTACCTTTAGATCATGAATGGAGACTACAACCAGAATTGTTTGATGGGCATATTGAAGAAGAATTACCTCATAAGCAATTGTCTGAAGTGATATACTTGAGCAAGTGAATCAATTTGAAGAACATATATTTGRTAATAGTGTGAAAAAAAGGAAACTTGCTAAAAACTAGCTAAAGAAAAGTTTATTCTTTGAATTACCTTATTGGGGCACTTTAATGTTGCGACATAATTTAGATGTCATGCACATTGAAAGAAATGTTTGTGAAAATGTGATTGGTACGCTATTGAATATTAAGGGGAGGACAAAAGATAACTTGAAGTCTCGTCTTGATCTCAAGCAAATGGGAATAAGAACAGAATTGCATCCGGTACAACATGAAAACAAATGGCACCTACCAGCTTCATGTTGTACATTATCTTTAGATGAGAAAAATGCATTTTGTGAGTACTTCAACACATTAAAGGTTCCARATGGATTCTCTTCTACTATTGGGAGGTGTGTTAATCTAAAAGGAAGACAAATATTTGGTCTTAAAAGTCATGACTATCATGTTATTATGGAATATTTGCTCCCATATGCATTGCAAGGATTGATGAAGAAGGATGTACGAGACGTATTGATTTACTTGAGCAATTTTTTTAAGACATTATGCTCAAAAGTGGTTAAAGTTGATGATATAAAAATTATCGAGGATGAAATTATAAGGATTCTCTGTAGAATGCAAATGATATTCCCACCATCATTTTTTGATGTAATGGTGCATCTATTAGTTCATTTGCCAAATGAAGTTAGAATTTTTGGACCAGTTCAATATAGGTGGATGTACCCATTTGAAAGGTACTTAAGTAGGCTAAAGGTTTATGTGCGCAATCGAGCTCATCCTGAAGGTTCTATAGCAGAAGGTTATATTGCCAATGAATGTGTAATGTTTTGCACCAGATATTTTCATACCATTGAAACTAAGTTCAATCAAATGAGAAGAAATGAAGACARTGATCATAGTTCATATGATGGATTGTCTATTTTTAAACCAGTTGGTCRTCCTATGCGACCAGGTAAACAATCAATGAGGCTCACGACARAARAGTGGAGACAAGCACATCTTTATATTTTACAGAATTGTGATGATGTCCTACCGTATATTGGGTAAGAAAAAATTTTATTAGTGATAAATATTTTAAAATGAAACGTAAAGTGTGTTTTGATTTTATAATTCTTTTTAGTGAACACATACAAGCATTACAACATGTTGATGCCAGAAATGCACAGAGAAAGCACGATAAAGAGTTTATCGAATGGTTTGAAAGTCATGTAAGTAAGAAAAGACATAGTAGTTATGATCTATTTGTTTGTATTTATCTACTTATTATTAAACATGATACTATTGTCTATGTAGGTTACTGARCTATATAATGAAGGAAGCAATGAAGTTGACAAACAACTATTAGATTTAGCTCGAGGCATCACAAGAAGTAATATACTACAAAGGATATATTGTTAATGGTTTTATGTTTTGTATAAAGGATGTAGATGATTTAAGAAAAACACAAAATAGTGGAGTAGTAGTGAGAGGAACTGACAATCGAGAGTACTTTGGTGTGGTGCATGAAATTATTGAATTGCAGTATATGGTAGGAAATAATGTTGTTTTGTTTAAATGTAAATGGTGGGATATCAATAGTCGTAGTAAAGGAATTAGAGTTGATGATCATGGACTGACTAGTGTGAATATGACCTACACATTTGCTACAAATGAGCCATTTGTATTGGCATGTCAATCTGAACAAGTTATTTACCTTGAAGATAGAAGAAATCCAACTTGGTATTTTGTGTTGAAGGTTGATCCAAGAGATTATTACAAGATCCCTGTAATCAAAGATGCAGATTGTTAAGAAGAAGATGGCGATGAAGGAATTTAATGTTGATCATTGTTTGGTGATGGTCATTTCTTTTTGAATTACTTCTTGTTATTTGGTATTATGAACCTTGTATTAATGATTTTTCTAAGCGACTGCCCAATTATATGACTTTATTAATATGTTTAKAAAATTATTTGAATTGAATATTATGTACTGCTTATTTGTTAGAGACTGAATTGTAGAATTATCTGTATTTGAGAAAGTTATAATTTKCAGGTTGAAAGTGCAATTTCTACTCTTAAGTGCAATATATGATACGAAAAAAGATGAAAAACTTCTCATCTCATGGAGCAAAGTTCAAATTTCAAGATAGAAATAGTATAAATAGTCATGAGAATAGTACTGTAGGGGCGACTACATCTATATCTTCAACAAAATCTAAATCACAAGTTGGTCTAGAAGCTTCATCATYGTTTAYAGGAGAAATTGGATCAACTACTAGTTATGAAAGGTCTGTTAATGGAGGTAATATTTTTTTTAGTTAACTTAATTTTATTTGATTTGTTTCTAACTCACCTTTTCTTTTTTCTTTTTATTTCAGAATCTTCTTTTGTAGGTCCAAGAAACGTGTGTGGTCCCACACGCAATCTTAAACTAGTTAAATTACCTCATGGGATTAGATTTGAAGTATCATGGAGGAAGAAAAGACYTGTTGGAGATAATGCTGATATTTTCAAAAGCCAATGCACTATTTTAGCTYGATAAGTCAACTTTACACCTCTACAAGTAAAAAGTTGGAAAGATATTGACATGGCAACAAAAAGAAAAYTATTTGAGCTTGCATTAGTATGTGATATAAAAACTTAATAGTTATTTTATTTACTTATTACTGGCTTTAATTGACATTGTTTTTTGACATGTAGGAGCGATTTAAAGTTGAAGGTCACGAGGCTTCTGTTTTACGTCAACTTAATCGATCTTATAATAATTGGAGAGATAGCTTGAAGAAAAAATGGTTGTACAAATATGATAKAGTTGCAGAAGCTTTGGCTAATATTCCACCAGAAATTACGAGAGAAGATGCAAAATATCTTGCAAACTTGTAGAAGTCAACTGAATATCAGGTTATATTCTAAAACTCGTCTTCTAGTACCTATAACAAGAATATGTTTATCTCTTTAAATGGTAATCATTCTCATTTTYTATTTTTGAAATGTAGGAGATGTGTGAAAGGAAAAAAGTGAACCGTTCTAAATTGAATGTATATCACACATGCGGTTCACAGAGTATACAACAAAGGGTTGAGAAAGAGGTAAATGAACAATCACATAAACTTCTTTTAATCTAGTACRATCATCTAATATATATTTTTCATTTAAATAGGTTTGTGATACTAATAATGAACCTAGTCGCATAAGAATTTGGGAGATAACTCACTTAAGAAATGATGGAACGACGGTGAATGAAACTACACAAGAGAAATTGGCAAGTACACTATATGGATTTATATTTCGTTAAAATGATTTTTGTCTTTATATCTCTTAAATGTTTAAAACCAAATTGAAATCTCTCCATTTCTTTTGGTTTTTCTTCGGGATTTGCTGCTAAGCTATTTGTTGGAATATGAGTTTCTCAAATAGGAATCACAGAATTTGCATAATCTGGTGCAATTTAAGTTTTGACAATTGTTTGCATYACTCCTCCTTACACAAGGTTGGTTTTGGCGGTGTCTAAATTATATATTTGTTGTTTTTTCTTTTTAGAAGTGTGGAGCGAACGAAGAAATAATACATTTTTGCTCAAGAATCTAAAATTTTATATAGAAAAGAGATGTTAACTGAATTTAAAATTTAAAATTTTTTGCAATTTGATATTTCTTGAGCAATAGAGATGATCTTATTTGATATTTGTTTTGCAATTTTTACTCGATATTACTTTCATATTACTAGAAAATATCTTATTTTTGTCTTTAAACTTTTTATTTATGTCTTTAGTCGGAACTCAAATCATATGCCTCTCAAGTGATTGATGGTACACTTGACATGAACAACGACGAGATTTTTGTGCAAGTCTTTGGACCAGAGAAACATGGGCGTGTTCGAGGTTATGGAGCCAGTGTTACTCCTTCTGAGTTGTTTGGATCATCTTCCAAAGTCCGTGATCTTGAGCGACGCCTTAACGAGTCAGAACAACGTCTTTAAGAATCTGAACGGCAAAGAAAAATTGAGGTACAAGGACTCAAAGAAAAATTGAGGTACAAGGACTCAAAGATCAATTTATTGAATTAGAAAATCGTTTTGAGCATCGATTTCAAGCAATGATGGCTGAGATGATGCGAAAGAAATCCTAATGTAGGGGTTAGAAAATTTGTTTGTTTTAGGTATTTGAAGTATTTGTATTATTTGAATTAGTTTTAGAAATACCGTGACTACTTGTTGATTGTTTTTGCAGTAACTATT